GAAAAGATTAATGATTAAAGTTTATTACTGATTAAAGATAAATAAGAAAATGAATAATTGTAGATAATGAATATATAAAGTAATACTATAATTTGTTTAGAAATATAATGAGATCGCATAATTTTTAGTTAATTTTAATGAAAAACTAAATTGTTTCGATTACTTAAATTATACTGATTAATTAAAAAATAATTTACGATCACGTTAAATTTTTGAAATTTTTGAAGTATAATTTATATTATCCTAATAGAAATTATTAAAACTTTAGAAAATTAATAATTGCCGTAGAAAATTTTTCATAAGCATTTAACATTAGTATTACATGCAATTTACCAATTTCAGAATTAAATAATTATCCAAGAATATCAATGAAAATACTCATTAATGTATCAAAAATATTAGAATATTAAAAAATTAAAAATTTATCAAAAAATGTTTTAAATAATTAAAGAATTCGAAGTTTAAATAATTAAATTTAAAAAATGTTTTTATTATTTAAATTTATTTTAATTTAAAACTATCTTTTACTCTATAAAAAAATAATTTTTTTAATTCCAAGTAGAATAAAAAAATCACTTTTTTTGAATAATTATTCACTTCCAATTGCTGAATCTATCAATCCAAATTAGAATTAACTCCTGTTACCATATATATGTATCTTCCACCAGTAGATCACCCAGTTCCTTAAATCACTATTCAACGGAACACGCAATATCATAATTGCCGACGCAAGCATAGCACCAGTACCAAAGATTGTAAAAATTCCACTTGTCAATGAATTTCCTGATTACCTGTCGCACCACTCTGTCCATACTGTTTGAGAGTACTCAGAAAACTAGAGCACCGTGTGGAATGCTGAATTATAGTGATGTTTTGCCTTATACCTGGCTTATATAGAGAGCTCACCTACGACTACAAAGATTCATTTCCTGTCGAGTATGGATCCTCCTTCAGCAAGAGGAGAATCCGCGTGAATCTCCTCGTGTATAAAACTGGGGATCTCTCCTTGTACTCCAGTTCACATAGGAACGCCAAGCGTGTAGAAAATCCGCGCTTTATTTCCCATTGTTTAACTAGCAGCATGCGCGATTTTGGGACGGCACTGGTATATGAGAGGAACGCATCTTTTTTCCAGAGCGGAGAAAGCTGATTACTTCATCGCGTGGGATAGCCTACCAACGGATCTAACTTAAGTAGCAGGACTAATTAACCAATCGAGGCTTAATTAAGATTTAGGACCATTGTCCATTTTTTTAAACCAAAAATCAAATAATGAAATAATGTATAAAAATTACTTGATATATATTGGTATAATAAGTAATTTAGAAAAGATCAGATCAAATTTCTTTTTCAAAGTTAATAATAAAATTAACTTAAGTAAAAGAAAAAAAGTGCGATAAAAAGAATAAGTAAGATCACCTTTCATAATCATAATATTAAAACATAGAATTCAATTCTACAAATTAATTAAAAAAATATTTAAAATAAAACAAATGTAGCAATGTTGGCGCTTAAATAAGATAATCTTATAATGTAACTTTAATTTTTTCTTCATATCCGCCTTTTAAGAGAGAATTATTGATTTAATATTACATTATAGGAATAAAGAAATATTGTAACTTGTGAGTAATTCCACGTTTAATAAAATTGTGATAATGAAAATATAATTTAAAATATGTGCATTAGAAAAAAATTAGGGTCGAGGTTGATGATGCAAACTTGATCTGATCTATACTAATTTCTTGTCAAACTGATTTATGAAATAAATATGCATTAAGATGTAAATATTAAAAGAGACTGCTATTTGATGAAACAAGAATTAGGTGAGATTATATGATAAATTGATTAGTTAATTATAAAGATAATTAATGATTAATTAAGATAATTAGTAATATATGATACTACATATAGTATTCAATATGAACATAATGCCTAACAATACTAATTCATATATTATATACTTTTATACAATAATATATTAATATTAATTATAATATTATTATAAATATTACGTAACTATAAATAATTTAGTGTTGAATATTAAAAATAATATTAATATAATATACAAATATTAATCTATAGTAATATATAATAATCTATAATTAATCTTAATTAATATTAGTAGTTTACATTAATAACATGCTCCTAATATATTAAAAATATTTTGACAAAATTGTATAATTTTTTTCAATTAAAATTATATTATATCAAAAGAAGATTATTTACTTAATGGTCAA